AAACCTGACAGATTTGTACATAGTCTGCGCAGAAATATGTCATAAATTAACCACACTGCAAAGCACAAAATCCCACTGGATCTTTTCTTGGAAAAATAGTAAGGAGCGCAAACCACCTTATAAAATATTTTGAGTCTAATAGGACCGCACAACATAACAAATATATTGTCATCACAATGTCACTGTGTGCAATATTCATACCGCAAAGGATTTCTTCGTGTGCAATAATTGTTGACTAATGTACTCGAAGAGGTTTGAAGTTGTATTTGTCACACCAATGCAATATTTAGCCAGTAGGACAGGGCAGACTAGCGCTGAGCAGCAGCAGATTGTAAACAAATGATGTGATGGATCATGAGGTGTTGTTGCTAATCTGCCTGCAGCTATTATGAATCCGCTCAATTTAAAAAATAAATAAATAATTGTTTAATCAGTCCACACGGCTTAAAATAAATTGACAAAAACTAAAACCAAGGATATTCTGTCGATAATTTCAGTTAGTTTTAGTTAGTTTTGTTAAAAGATAATACAGTTTCAGTTGGTTACTATTTTTTCATTTAGTTTTAGTTTTTATTTATTTCAGTTAACTAATTTTTTTTTTAATTTTGGTTTTCATTATTTATTTAGTTTTAGTTAACTATAATAACCCTACAGTGCACACTAATCCCAGGTATGGCAAAGAATGACAGTCCTTTGGTGGCCCAGGTTTGCAAGATGTGATCCATGCATGGGCTAGCATCATATAAACCAAAATACAAATGGGCCATGCCATCTTAAAAACAGTGCCATTATTTCCAGACCTGGCCCACATACAGTTGACAAACCACTTGTCATGCCAGCAGTTAGCCAGCAGTGCCAGCTTGACACCAGATTAGGCTCACACCTGTCTGCTATGTGGGAATAAGTCCACTCATATTGATTGAGTAACACTGTTAAGATTATCTCATCTTAGTTTATTTAGGACCACACAACAGTGATGTTTAAAAAAAAGTCAGCTGGGGTTGCATGTAACCACCCWGACAGGGATGTCAGTGCTTACCTCAAATAGGGCTCAAGTTCCTGGGCAAGAAGCTTAGTGTCGGAGCTGTCCAAAACACCATGATCACCTGAAACTGACAAAAATCAGACAAAAAAAAAACCTTGACCTTTTTGGGAAAAAAAAGGGCTGTAACTCATACAGTATGTAGATGGTTACATATAAAGTGGCTCGAATGTCTCCATAAAACAAAAGCTTGTGTTTGTGTTCCAGCATGAGCTTATTTATGGTTTGGTTCTTCTTTGYTTGAGGTCCAAACTGTCAGGAAAACGATCATTCATGCTGTGACCTAAAATGACTTTTTGTAAATTCGCACTTATTTGTTTTTGTAAAATTATAAAGGTTTTCGTTATGCTGTGTAATGATACAGTATAGGTTCACAAAGAGTCACTAAACTGTTGTGTTGTTTCAACAGAATATGCTCATAATGCGGGTCTTGCATCTGCATGTCTTTCACTGACCTTTCTGCCTGGCATCGACATTCACAGAGCAATGATATTACACATCAATGAGCATTGGATAATACATAATCTCCCATCCTACATGCATACAAAGACATCCAGCGTCACTCAAACAGAGATACCAACACAGGGACACTTCCCCCCACAGCTCTGACTGCTAATAATAGCAACAGCCTTCATGCACATCTGCACATCTGACATCTGTTCAGTGCTGGGAACCAGCCAGGATGCATTCTGAGTTTTAATACAGTAGCATAGGTAAGTCGAGCAACGGCTTGTAGATGGCACGTTGAATCAAAGCAAATATATTCTAAATAAATATTTATTGTTGCATTTATATAGGCTAAAATGTGCAAATAAATGTTTCTTAACCTTTCAAAATGCAACGTAACAGGCCAAGGCTTTTAATTTTTGAAAGGAGTGCAGCTGGAGAAACAGTGAGGTAAAATACTTCTTAAAGCCTAATTATCTGACTTCATGATGAGTTATTGTCTAAGTTATTAATTTGCGTGTCTGTAATTGGGCTTCAATACTTAAAAAACCTATAATAAAAAAAAAAAAAAGTCCTGTTTGACAATTCAAAACTCAGTCAGGTTTTTAAACTTTCATTGTTCATTTAGGCTATTTCAACCAGAACCAACCCTGGTCAATTTGCTGCCCTAGGCAAGATTTCAGGTGGAAGTCCTTGTGCAATTTTCTCACTGCCAGTTTATATAAATATTTGATCTTTGATATTATTTTTTTATCTTTAGGAAACTAGGTTGTCCATTTAAAATGATCATAAATTAATTTGAAAGAGAATACTAGAAGATGACCTCATGCCTACCCACCATTTGATGACAACAATGGGGAACACCTGTTTATGTTAATGAACAGCTGTGGAGTGAAGCAGTTCTAGGGGGGATTTCCCCCAGAAAATTTTTGTAAAACATCTACTCAAAGCTGTGCACTTTCCAGCCATTTGAAGAGCATTTTACTAAATTCTTGGGATTAATAAAACAACATAAAATCAGTATTTTATGAAGGTAGAACACTGTAAAACACGGTAAGCTATTTGCTCCACCCACTAGATGTACTTGCCCATAGCATTTGCATACACTGCCTATACCACAGGCCAACCCTGATTTGAACCTATTCATAAATAAACTGAAAAAGAAGCCACTTCAAAATAAAATCTAAAAAAAAAAACCCATATCTTATGTTGTCTTGTAAATTATGTGACACAATAATTCCCCACGTGACACCAAATACGAGTTGAGAGACGTACCTTTGTAATCCACTCTGTAGGTTATATCTTCATATAAGTCCACACTTTCTCCTCCAGGCTGATCTTGCTTCTTCGTGCAGTTTTGCTGCCTTTCCCTTAACTTTGCGTAAGCCCTCTCCTTCACCCTGAGCTTCAGGTCGGCACAGAGCACCCCGCTTTGTGGAGACATGCTCTCCCAGCTCTCCGAACTGCACACACCTTTGGCCGAGTCCACCACGTCTTCCTCCCTCTGCTCGCACCTGTCCAGGTAGAACTCAGCGCTGTCCGAGTGGTTGATCTGTGAGGACGCATCGGTGTCACCGGCTGCACTTTCCAACTTGTTCCTGTTTCCAGGTTCAGAGGGTTTGGACTTTCTTTCAGGTTCTGCCTGCACCTCTAGCTGAGTGTAGTCCTTCACAGGTAAGGTTGGGGGTATGTTGTGGGGGCCAACCCCATTGAGAAGCAATGTCTCTGGGCGGGCCACTCTCCAGAAGCCTTTTGGAGGTCTTACAGAGGAAGAAGACGTGATGGAAGTGGGGACAGGAGAGGAGGAGACCTCAGGTGGTGGAGTATGAGGCGATGGATCATCCTTGCTGCTGCTAGAGTTGTCCAGGAGCAGACTCTCCAAACTGGTGCCCTCCCTGAGCCCACAAGGCTTCTCCATCGGAGGACTGCGTTGGGCTTCATTTTTCTCTGTCTTCCTCTCCTCGTTTTCCTCTCCTCCATGCTCACTTTGGACTTCAACCGGAGGACTGTGGATCTCCAGCCTGACCTGTACCTCCACCTCCTCCTCGTCATCGCTGCTGCTCAGGTCTTTGGCTGAACCCGAACGCCAGGAATTTGAAGGCACAGAAAGCTGCCCTTTCCCTCTGGGTCTCTGCCTGAGAAAGAGGCCCGACGCAGTCTGCCCAGAGGGACCGCTCACCTGCGCCTGTGCCTCCACCTTCTCTCTGTCCTTGTCCCTTTCTCTCCCTCTTGTTCTCCTCTGAGTCAGGGGCTTCACTTTGGTTTGCAGGGAGCGCACAGCCGAACTCGGAGGAGGCGAGGTGTTTAAGGAGTATGCAGAGAAAACAGGCTCGGGAACAGGACCAGTGATGAGCCCCCAGTTAATGGGAAGCCCATTGGGTACAGGGCAACTGGATTTTGGATGCATAATTTCTGCTTTTTCTTTGTCCATTGACTGGTTGTGCAAAGAAAGATCCAAATTGATTCTGGAAAACACAACAACACAGTTTTTATTTATCAAAAAGAAAAAAAAGTAGGTCCTCTGGATGGGTTCTTCTTTGGTGAAACATTTCGTCTCTCCTCCAAGAGACTTCTTCAGTCTGATGAGTTTCAGGTGAACTCAGCCTTATAAGCACTGCCTCCACCTGGACAAACAGGTTAGTCACATGCAAAATAGGGCCATTGACTAACAATAGGCTTGATTGGCTCTATTGTTCATAGAGGGTCATGTGCCCCATCACCTGACCCGTGTGTTATGTGAATATAGTGAATGCAAGCGGGGGTTCAACATCCCCTTGTTTTTGTCCCTCCCTCCCTCTTTGTGTCACAGAAAAAATATCACAAAAGAGTCAATCAAGCCTATTGTTAGTCAATGGCCCTATTTTGCATTTGACTAACCTGTTTGTCCAGGTGGAGGCAGTGCTTATAGGCTGAGTTCACCTGAAACTCATCAGACTGAAGAAGTCTCTTGGAGGAGAGACCAAACGTTTCACTAAAGAAGAACCCATCCAGAGGACCTACTTATTTTTTTCTTTTTGATTTTTTTTCTACCTGGATTACTGAGATGCATCAGGACAGTTTTTATTTTTCCTACCTCACGTAGAAAACAAAACAAAACACATCTGTTCTGCAATGTTAGTTCCTTGTGCTCTAGTGGGAGGAGATATGTATTGTAGATTCAGTCACGTTGCCTTATCCAGTGATTACTTCACAGGATAATCCTTTAGATTGAAAATAAGTACCTACTGTTGGTTATATTGAGACCCTATAGCCTATGCGATATATGTATTAGGTTTTTTTCTTTTTTAAACAATAAGTATCAATCATTTAAAAGTCTTTAAAAAATTATATTTTATCACTGATATTTCTGAAGTGCAGACATGTGAATGAAATAACTGCCTACACTAAATTATCAGTCACAAAAATATCCAAACATTTATCAATGAATACATTTTTGAAAGGATAACAAACCTACCTGATATTTTGTGTATAGTATGCTGTTTTATCCAATATGAACCCAGTTTTGTCCACCCTTGAGAAAGTTCCTTTAAACTCTGGTGCAGCTGCACAAATTAAAGTCTGTTCTTGTAAAACCTGCGCCAAGCAGTCGTGCAAATCTTGCATCGTTGCATCATTCGTTCAGTAATGTATGTTTAAAAGAAATCCAAATCAAAGCGAGGGTTACTGTCCCCACTAAAAGAAATTAATACCCAATAAAATGCCTTAAAGGTTCACCTCTACGCAGCTTCCAATCCGAGCAGCAGTGTCAGGAAAGCCAGCGGTCTCTGTATCATGCTCACTCCGATAATCCCTTCAGAAATCACTGGGATTAACAATAAATAAATAAATAAATAAAAAAATACAAAAAATGTTTGCTTTAACTTCGTCCTTGCCTCGCAAACCGAGTGACGCTCTCTGTTGCGTAAGCGCAGTGCGCGCACAGCATCCAAATAATGTCTTATTGCAAATAATAATAATAAAATAACCATTAGCCTTTTTAATACTAATAAAAAATCGCCTTAGCTGTACAAGCAGCGATTTGTTTCCTAAAAACAACTGTCACCTGATCCTTGTCAGTAGATACAGCTGATCCGTCTGAGCCCACCCCCTCCTCACTACAGTCAACCTAAATTATACTGGATTACAAACAATGGCGCACTGGGAAGATGAAAAAGACCATATTTAAACTTGACCCTACGGGGAATTTGTTTCTATTTTTTTTATCTTGCATTAATTTATTTATTGTTCTGCATAATAATTGATTTTTTTGCCTTTATTTATTGAAAATTAGATTGTACGTTTTACATTTTGCATTAAATGTCCAAATAACATTTTTGCTTGTTTGCCACTTCGTTCGCTTTTGTTACCTGAGCAGAGTTGTATCTAAAACAGTTGTGTTGTATTTAACAAAGTTGTGTGAAATGATTCTACTCTATTGAGTGTAGCTTTCACATGAGCAATAGATCTCCTTTTCATCGTGATGTCAGCTAAATTAGTCATTATAACGTTCATTATTTCATTTTTTGCTCATTACGTGTCTTTCAGATAGGCTATAGGCTTACTGTATTGTGTTTCTTTGAAAATAATAGGGCACCCTTTAATACCCGGTGTCCTTTTCAGCCTAAGTTTCATGTTCTTGTGAATTTTCATAATTTGACGCTGAACACTTTTCTGTTTTGGCTGTAAATGCGACCCATCGCCAATAGAGGGCACCGTTGAAACGTAAACTTGCGCGCACACGAGTTAGCGCTCTTGTCTTGCTGGTGTTATGCCAAAAAGGCACTCCCGGAAGCGCATTTCCGAGGCCCTAGGTCTTTTAAGGTATTTATTGGGAAACTTCGGAAGTGACAAGGTGACGCTTGGTTTTTAAAATCATCAAGGTCACAACTGTTTAAAATGTTTTTTTAAATAGCCTTTAATACGACATTTACTCAGTTCATTATTGAGTAAAAGTACTTTGAGATGCGCTTCTTATGACAAGGTTGCATATTTCAGCACAACACCTAGCCAGCTAGCTAGCTTTCGTCGAATTGTCTCCCTACCCAAGCAGCAGCGAAGCTGCACAGTCGACATGGCAGAAAATATCGCAACAGTTTCGTACAGAAAGATGAAATACTTCCAAGTCCTTTGGAATAAGTAAGTTGAATCAATAATTACATTTTTACTATATTCTGGATACGAATAATTGACGCTGATTAAGTAGTTTTAGTCACATTTAATGACGCACAGCGATGATTGTTGATGCTAACATATTTAGCTAACGAGCTAAGTGTAGGGAGGAGCATTATTTGTTCACTAACCTGTTAGCCTTCCGTGCTTATTTTGACAAATGAATTTTACCAGTCAGCTAAAATTATTACATAATAATCTTTATAAATCTTAGAATTTGTATCCCATTGCATTCGGGTAATTAGTTTACACGGTTTGCTTATTTTTACGCACTCTGCTTTTTAGCTTCAGACGCTAACGTTACATAATGACTGCAACTCAAATGGTCTACGGTTCCTCGCTATCGTTTCCTTTCCAACAGCTATACATAGCAGCTGATGATCTTGGAGACGTAGTAATTATAAATCAGCAGTCATAATATTAATAATAACTACATAATAACCAATTAACAGTAAGTTCAAGTTTGGAAGCAATTGTTTTTGATCCAAAGACGTCTACTCGTTGGCTAAGCTTGACAATTAGCCACCCATAGCTTACATTGCTAAAAGTGAGCTAACGTGTCGCCTAATAACAAACAAAACACTAATTCGTCTCGGTCGAAACATTGATATCGTTGCAGCAAATGCACCAAGTTCGTTTCATGAGAATTAAGCAATTCCTTTAGTTTATTTTTAATACCAAACACCGTCTTCATTGCATTAGATAGCACAGACGGAGGGACTTGTTAGTTAGCTACTTGTACCCTTTGTCCATGGTTGCTACAAGATCCTGTAAGTAGGCCACACAGCTGTTGTTGTCATCGTTTGATCGTTTGCGTATTTTTTAATGTATTCTGACATATCTTTGATCTGTCTTTAGTTTTATTGTGAGTAAATGTTAATAATAGTCAATAGCAGAAAGTCAAACATATTAATGTAAGAGTAGATTTTGATTGTCAAAACTGATGTCTGGAGTGTGAAACTAGATGCCCTCAACCCTAACATGTAGTTAAAAACAACAACAACAAACTAAAAAAAAAGGTAGCTAATAAGATAAACCCTGTATGAGTCTTTATTTCGACATGCATGCACAATTGTTTACATCAATATGTGGTTTCTTAATATTTTCCTCACTTTTTCTTTCTGTTTCACAGTATTCATCACGAGATGTGATCCAACATCCACAATGCGTGAGGACATTTAAGAACGATTGAGTTCAGAAAAAAATCTCGATTCCAGTGGAATCTTCCATATATCTATATATATATAATTATTATATTTTTCTTTGTGTTAAATCTTACCTTTTTACACACCCATCCCACCAACATATAACCATGCCAGTGCAAGCGCCACAATGGACAGAGTTTCTGCTGTGCCCAATCTGCACACAGACATTTGAAGAGACTGTTCGTCGGCCCATCAGCTTGGGCTGCGGACATACTGTCTGCAAGATGTGCCTGAACAAGTTGCACCGCAAGGCCTGTCCCTTTGACCAGACAGCCATCAGCACAGATATTGAGCAGTTACCTGTCAACACAGCTCTGTTGCAGCTGGTGGGAGGCCAGGTAAGATGCAAGTTTTTGTCATTATTCGTTCAAATAATTAATGGAGAGTCTTTGTTCTTGTTGACTATCCAACAGTGTGTTATTGTAAGAATATGGCATAAGATACCATGCGTGTCTCAGCATTTGTTTGTTCTCCCGAAAACAGCTTGAGGATTGTAGTGCGTGAGCTTTTACACAATGCTTTTGATGTGAGGATTCCTTTATGAGTCATGCCACAATTATTGAGYCATCTCTTTAGTTTCTTTTGGCTTTCTGGTTGCTATAATTGTGAGTGACACTATAATTCTTTGACAAAATATTTGACCAACAGGGCATGGCTGGTGTTGATGTCAAATTTTCCAGGATCAGATTGTGTAGTGATGGCAAATGTCGGTGTCTCGTCTACAAAGACAAACTGTGTTTCTGTTAGTAATGCGATGTCTTTTGGTTAAATGTCTTGCACTTTTATGCTAATTACTACACGATAGGGTACCATACTGATTAAAGTATTAATTTAAATTTCACATTCTCTATGCTACCCAACCAGACCCATAAAGACAAATGAGACAACTATTCATGCTCACTCACACAGGGTGACAACTTAGAAGTACTGCTTAACCTAACATGCAGGTTTTTGGTCTGTGAAAGGAAAATAAGTAACTTTAGTCAAATTTAACTACTGTCTGGGTGAACTTTATTTTATCCTAACAATATGTGACATGTTGAGCAATTTCCATTAACTTCTTAAGCTTATTACCATTCAAAGTACATATTAATGCAGCAGTACCTAGTGGACTTAATCATATATTTACCATTAGATTATGTGTTTGACTGCTTGTTTCTTCCTCATCACGTGCCTTCAATAATTGATTGGACGCTTCTTTTTTTTCAAATGATGTTGCATGTTTTTTCTTTATTTTTACCTTTAGTAGTAAATGTTTTTCTTGCACTTTCTATAAGATACTGTGCTTTGTTGGAAATCTCAAATTCACACATTTACAGCTGAAATACAAATGAAACTTTATCCAGGAAATGCATTGGAGACTTAGCCTTGTGCCTAATCAAACTCATCTAGTAACAAGGCAGGAGAAGGGACTGTTAGGTTTTGCCAAAATATGGTTTAGCATGGTTGTGATTTTGCTCTACATCCTACATTCTAGTCATCATCTACAATKCAGACTAGAATTATTAGCCTATTGGGAGCTTTGTGTGATTTTCCCAGTTCTACAGGCACTCACTGTATCTGAAGAAAATCTTGCAACATGTGTTCGTTTTGCACCAAGGGCGATGCAGCACCCCTCTGYGTCCCATTCTTGAAGGCTTCCAGGCAGTAGTTATTTACTGCCCTGTCAGCACTGAAATAGTGTAATACATTGCTGTGTTGAGGAGGTCAGCAGAAATGCCCACAGGCCTAAACAATAGCTAATTATTAATACATGCTGTGCTAAACMAGTGGTCTGTGTTTTGTCAATGAAAGTGTTGCTCCGTCTCTGTATCCTAAGCTTTTCAGGATGAAAGTAGGGTTGGGCAATATTATCAAAAAATAAATCACGATTAATTGTGGTGTTTAGCCGATAACGATTAATTTACGATTAATGCACTGGAGTCCTGGGACATCCTTATGTCCTAGTCACATGACTAATTTAGTGGGAAAGACTTACTCTTTGTAAAAATCTGTTCCAAATTGTGTCAAAATTACAGACTTCAGGCTATACATCTAATTTTTAATTGTGTTGGTAGATAAATTACAGAACTTTTTTTTAAATGTTTGTCATATTTGAAGTGGAGAGGAGCACCGAGTGGACTGAATCTTCAGTCAGTCTGCCTGCTGGCATTAGTCGTATTAATCGTCAAGTGCCAAAAAATAATCGATTAGTGTTTTTCTGGCGATTAATTGCACACGATACGATTGTGCCCAACCCTAGATGAAAGACAACTCTTTTAGTTTTGTCATTGCTTTTAATGAAAGTATAAACATCAAAAGCAAGCTGTTTATGAAAATCCTGGACAAAAAAATGAACATAATTTTGGTCAATAAAAAATAATATTTTTCCACAAAATCACACCTTAGGAGGGGAAAAACAATAATAAAAAAAAGCATGATGTTCATTTGACATGGGTCAAATGGGATATTGGGTTTAGTTATACAATATTTTTTCTATATTTTTTCTCCTCTGCAGGTTCCTAAGGCTCAGCCAGTTGCCTTGATCACCAGTCCAGAAGACACACAGAATTATGAGGTGGCAAGGCAGTGTGTGGAGGAACTGGCCCTCTACCTCAAACCCCTCAGCAACACAAGAGGTTCTTAATTTGTCTTTGTTATCTGCTGTTGTAGTGGGATGCCAGAAATGTGAAGGCTTTATTTTGTTTTACTAAAGAGGAATTGTCCTGCATTGATTTAATGTGGTATATTGTAACTTTCCACTTTTTATTTCCAGGTGTGGGTCTGAGCAGCACAACCCAAAGCATGCTGAGTCGACCCATGCAGAGGAAGCTGGTGACTCTGGTTCACTGCCAGCTTGTGGAAGAAGAGGGTCGCGTTAGAGCCATGAGGGCTGCCCGCTCTCTTGGTGAGCGAACTGTCACCGAGCTCATCTTGCAACACCAGAATCCTCAGCAGCTCTCCTCCAATCTGTGGGCTGCAGTTCGTGCACGAGGTTGTCAGTTTCTTGGCCCAGGTATTTGTCACTTACCTGCAAAATGAAACCACCACGCAGGCAGCAGCTTTATTTTTGTTCAAATACAATTCCTTTGGCTTCTGTTGCTCAACATGTTAATCGCCATGTTTTGTTTCTCCCCAGCAATGCAGGAGGAAGCTCTAAAATTGGTCCTTCTTGCTTTAGAAGATGGCTCTGCTTTGTCCAGGAAGGTGTTAGTTCTCTTTGTAGTCCAGAGGCTTGAGCCACGCTTTCCCCAGGCCTCCAAAACAAGCATAGGCCACGTGGTACAGCTCCTTTATAGGGCTTCCTGCTTTAAGGTATGTCTGTGTGTGACAACCAGGAGAAATCTGTCATTATTTTGATATTTGTTAGAATGTGGTGATTTGGTCCTGCTTCACAGCGAGACTAGTTTACCTAAAATATGTGCAGCTTTGTCAGTCCGCTATTGATTTAAACAATACGAATTTAATCGTGATATTACATCAGTGGTTCCCAATTCTGGTCCTCAAGTACTCCTATCCAGCATGTTTTACTTGTTTCCCTGCTATTCAGCAGGTCTTCAGAAGATTGTTAATCACTCATTCATTCAAACCAGGTGTGTCAAATCAGGGAAACGTCTAAAAATCACTGCTTTAAATGTTGACCAACACCTCAACAGCTTCTCTGAGCTTGATGAGACATTTTCAAATTATAATATTGACTTTTTTAGTATTGCTTCTGGAAGCCATTGATTCTTTGCCATTTATTTGTAAATAATAAATCCGATAATGTATTAAAGCAGTGATTCTTAACCCTGGTCCTCAAGGACTCCTTTGTGTTTAGATGTTTCCCTGATTTGACACACCTGGTTTGAATGAATGAGAGATTAACAATCTTCTGAAGACCTGCTGAATAGCAGGGAAACAAGTAAAACATGCTGGATAGGGGTACTTGAGGACCAGGACTGGGAACCACTGATAAAATTTACCTGGAAAATGCTTGATTGAAGCAAGGAAAAAAAAATCTTTATTTGTATAGCACCTTTCTAAACAAATGTTACAAAGTGCTTTACATTGAAAAATAAGTTAAACATCAAACACAACATAAAAAAACCCCAAATCCTTCTTCTGTGATGTTTTAGGTTACCAAACGTGATGAAGATTCATCTCTGATGCAGCTGAAAGAAGAGTTTCGTACTTATGAAGCTCTGCGACGTGAGCACGACTCTCAGATTGTTCAAATTGCCATGGAGGGTGGATTGCGCATTGCCCCTGACCAATGGTCCTCTCTGTTGTATGGCGATCAGTCTCACAAGTCACACATGCAGTCTATCATAGATAAGGTATGCAATTAAATTATTGTACGTTTTTAAAATATATAACTCTATTTTAATTTGACAGGAAATACAGTTTTACAAAAACATTTTTCTGTGTTTTGCTTTAAAAGATTCAATATCAGAATAGGTGTATAYTACATATCTGTTGTTTTTATTTCTTTACTTCCCACATAGCTGCAGACCCCAGCATCTTTTGCGCAAAGTGTCCAAGAGCTGACAATTGCGCTGCAGAGGACAGGAGACCCTGCCAACCTCAACAGGCTGCGGCCCCACTTGGAACTACTTGCAAACATTGATCCCAGTCCTGGTAAGACATATGCATACTTTCTATGATCTAAAAATAAGAACTGTGTTTTTTATGACAAGTGTAAATCTATTGTCRCCTCAGAAATTGTACTTATTTATTTATCTTTTGCTATTATTACTTTTTTGCCTATATATAGATGCTCCACCTCCTACATGGGAGCAGCTTGAGAAGGGGTTGGTGGCAGTGAAAACAGTGGTACATGGCCTGGTCGATTTCATCCAGAACCACAGCAAGAAAGGAGCTGATCCACAACAAGTAAGTTTACATACACCGATTTGGTCCTTGGTGGCTCAACTGATTACTTGGAAATTAGATTAAAAAAAAAAAAACACGAACAAATTTTTGTTTTGTTCTTAGTTGTTATTTTTCCAGGGTTGCAGGTGATTTTGTTAGTGTCAACCTTAACTGTGTTCAAAGCCTGTAGAAGTTTGCAGCGTTACACCAAAGGGTGGGATATATGGCAAAAATATCAAATCATAGTGTTTTTACACTTAATTCAGTTACACATTTTTCATAGATTTTTTTAAACTATTGACTTTTTTACTATTTTGCAACGTAAAAAAACAATGGAAGCAAACTATTTTTGTACGTAATACCATATCCCTACGAAGAAAAGAAAATACTGTAACATTTATGTCAAAGGCCATTATTAAATCAAGCTTAACAACAATAGAATGTGCTCCTTAGACAATCCTACTAGATCTCTGCTTTAGCAACTCGTCTAGACATCTTCTCACAATCTAATGTTGTCAGATCGCTCACCACGAGTTGCACCTCCCTTGAAGTCCCTTAAGTTTCATTCTACTTGTATACCAAAAAATGTTTTGTTTATTTTCCCCAGCCTCCTCAGCACAGTAAATACAAGACATACATGTGTCGTGACATGAAGCAAAAGGGTGGATGTCCCCGCGGAGCCAGCTGCACTTTTGCCCACTCTCAGGAAGAATTGGAAAAGTGAGTCTGACGTCAACGTGGACTATTAAATAGTTAGCCTTATCGTTTCCTCACTACTTTAATCTTCAATCACTTATGTGTTTATTTCTAACACACTTTGTCAGGTATCGTAAAATGAACAAGCGTGCGATAACTCGATCAGGGGGACTTTTACCAGATGACAACCTTCCTCTTGATGTAGCAGTGACCCGAAAGATTTCACCCRTTGCCAATGGTGGCGTTGCACCCAATTTGCCCCAACTTGTTGCTCGAGGCACCGACGCAGTTCCCTATGAGATCATTCGTAAACCCGTGAAGATGGACGGAGGAAGTTCAAGCGTCCCAGGATCACCACCTGATGTGTGAGTGGAGTGTTTTCTGGAAATAATTTTTATCTTGCAGCTGTAGAAAGGACAGTGTAAAAAAGAAACCGTTTCTTGTGGAATCTATTCTTTGAGTTTATTGTAGATATAAATTATTTGACTTACCTTATCCCTGCAGCCTGGACCCCATGTCTAAACCTGGTATGGCTCTACCACCTCATGCAATGGCCCACCCAAGGATCCCAGCAGATCACATAGGAGTGAAGCATATGTCTGTGGTAGCCAGGGGTTCACCAGTATATCCACAACCACAACTCCCTGATATATGCTATGAAACTCGCCCCCCACCTGCCTCTCARTATGAACCCACTCAGTACCCAACAGGTAAGGATCAAATTAATGGAATATATCTATATATAGTATGTATAGTGTTATAATTTTCATATATGCACCTTTCTGCCCAGGAGTTCTCTTTAAAATTTAGACTACAAATACAACAGAGAGAACACTTAGTGTTCTATCATTGGCTTTCTGCTGCATGCCTGCTACTTAGAGCTTGCAGACCTCAAGAAAGGGATTTTAAAGGGGCAATATTATGTGTTTCTCAATTATACATTTAAATACTATACCATAAAAAAGTATCTATGTCACCTTTAGTTGTTATTAAAATGCTGTTTTCATGTTTAAATAGAAAATAAACTTATCTTCTCATCACTTCCTCTTCTAAACGCCTTGAAATTGGCCACTGTCTCTTTAAGAACCACCATTTCAGCGCAGGGGGTTCGCACTTGTGTGTGTGTGTGTGTGTGTGTGTGTGTGTGTGTGTGTGTGTGTGTGTGTGT